AGTAGTGGGTCTCCCTGGTTACCCACACTTTTATCTGAGTTGGCTACAAATCAAGGTTCCCACAGCCCCCTCCTCAGGTTCGAATTTGCTATAGCAGGTCATAGAACTCAGGGTAACACTTTATTTACTATTTATTACCAGTTTATTATAAAGGATGTTTAAAGGCTGCAAGTGAACCTCCAGACGAAGAGGCACATGAGACGAGGCCTGAAAGAGTTCCAAACAAAGGAGCTTCTGACCCCATGGACTTGGGCATGTATCTTCCTGGCACATGGATGTGTGTTCACTAACCTGGAAGCTCTTTCCACCTTGTCTTTTGGGGCTTTTATGGAGGTGCCATTACTCAGGCACAGTCCCTGGCCATAGATGATTAACTCAATCTCCAGCCCCCTTCCCCTCTCCGGAGGCCCAGGGGCGGGGCTGAGAGTTCTAACCTAATCATTGGTTGTTCCTCTGGTGACCAGCCCCTATCATGGAGCTATCTAGGCTCTCCTCATCGCCACCCGTCACCTCATTAACATACAAAATGACACTCTTAACACTAAAGATTCCAGGGGTCTTAGAAGTTCTTGTGTCCAGAACTGGGGACTGAGACTAAATATTAGAACAAAAGATGCTCCCATCATCTCTATTGCTTAGGAAATCACAAGAGTTCTAGTAGCTCTTCTGTCAGGAAACAGAGATGAAAACCAAATGTATATGCGGACAGTCACCAAATTACAACGGTTTAGCTTATGATTTTTCGACTTTACAATGATGTGAAAGTGGAAAGAATTCAGTAGAAGGGCTAGGCTAAATTATGATGTTTGGTAGCGTAGGCGTATTAAATGCATGTTCGACGCAGGATATTTTGAACTTATGATGGATTTCTTGGGATGTAACCCCATCGTAAGTTGAGGAGCATCTCTATTTCTTATGTCACAGTATCACAGCCTGGCATTGCAGTCTCTCTGGAAAGGTGTGCTGGGGGGACCTACGATTGTCAAAAGTTTCAGAGTGAGCAAAAAAAGCAAAAAAAAAAAAAAAAAAGCTTGTAAAAATGGGGGGATGGTAAAGTTACAGTGTAATTCTTTAGCCCCTTTCCTAGTAGTGTGTATCATTCAGGGAAGTTTTGTTTTCAGATTGGTTACATTCTAGCTAGTGTTACAATTTCTATTTTGTTAGGGTTACAATTTCTATTTTGAAACGGAAAAGAGAGTTGTATTAGTGATGTATTTCATTTTGTTTTCTTTTTTTAAATTTGTCTTTAATTTCTCTACAGTCCAAATAGTCTTAGATTTGGTATTGAAATGAATCACTTTAGTTGCCAAGTGATTATTTCAAATTCAGGTTTCTATTACTCCATAATTGTCCCTAAATGTTTTCTTCATGTTTTATACCCCTCTTTCACCTTATTGAATATAAAAAATATTTAAAAAATATAGTCAGTCATCTGCTTCTCTATAGGAAGGCCCTAATAAGACTTTCTCTATAATTGACCAGAAAAGGAGAATAGGTTGGAGCAGGGGCAGATGTAGGTGGGGCTATTCAAATACCAAATTACTTGCAGCCAAGGGGATGAAGGGAGACTTCAAGTTCAGGAAGCACATGTTGAAATCTAAGACCCCAACTTCTCATTATGTGTCTTCAGGATCATACTGTTGGAAAGCTCTGGTAGCATTTAGCCATCTTGGATGCCTGTGTCCAATTTATCTGAGTACCAGATACGTTTCGGGTGGTGCATTTATTTCTCTTTTAAGAGATGGCCTTAGTTACACTTCCTTTACTCTTTCTGGCTATTATTCCCCTTACATTCCTCACCCTTCCCTAAGACAACGAGAGCAGAGTTTATAATAACAAATAACTCCTGCAGAGTTTATAATAACAAATAATATCTCAACATGTTTTTTAAAGAACAGCTGCCAAGTCAATCCCTTTGGTCAGGGTCAGCCTCTTCTGCTTTCTTTTTTTTTTTTCTTTCTTTCTTTTTTTTTCCTCTGCTTTTATCTCAGCTGTACTTAGACTCCCAAATGCTCAGTTCCTTAACTTCAGCCATCATCCATTTTTCAAATGGCTAAACTGCTCAAGGCTGACAGGTATTGTAGAGGCAGAGCCGGGGTGTCTTTTTTTTTTTTTTTTTTTTTGATTTTAGATTTAATAATGCCAGTGCCTGGTATTCTGTGGAGCAAATAGTATTTTTTTTTTTTTTTCTGGATCTTTGGAATGAAGCCCTGGGCTTTGGCAGAGTTGCAGAATCTGGAGGACAGAGACAGTCTCCTAAGTTTCTAAGTCTGTCTTTGGAAATTTCTCTTTTTGACACATTGAGGGGTGGCGGGGTGGGGTGGGGTGGGGAATAACGGCCTTATCTTTTGGCCAAGATCAAGTAATCCGCAGCTGTTGGGGAACATGTGACAGGAATTTTTGCAATAGTGGGTTGGAAAGAACTATCTGGGTACACTCGGCTGTCTGCATTTCAGGGTTCACCCCCGTCTGCCTGCCTGGATGTGAAGTACTGAAGACTGGTGGCCTCATGTGGTCCTTTTTGGCCTCTGGACTGTCAAATTGCTTTTTTTCCTTAGCATTGTCTCTGCTTCTCTTGAAGGCTAAATCGTTTTTGACAAATTATATACTTTGCATTCCTATAGTAAATATTAAGTTTTATATTTATCAATATACTTTACAATGTATCTGAGACTTGCAAGCCACCTTCTGCCCTCTGTCCTCTGCTTCCCCCAGACTTAGTACTTTGTACTTTTTTATTTTGGTGGAACAGTTAGTCGCAAGTCTTGGTTTGTTTTCCCACATAAACAGATTCATCTTGATAACTTCATCTTGATATCGTTTAAATTCCTTTTAACTTTTATCCTTTTATCTTCACATGCTACTTTTCTAAGAAGGGAAATATTTGGATCGGATTAATATAGTTCATCCACTCATTTACCAAACAAGTGCCTGCTATATGCTACCTCTGAGCAGGCGGGCCCATGGACAAATAGCACAAATCCCCTGCCACTTGTCTTGAAATGCAAACAGACACTCAAACAAATTTAACAAAGGGGACATGAATTGTAGCAGAAGTAGGTGCACAGTGGATGAAAAGTAATTTTTTCCATTGAGTTGAGAAAAGCTGTCATTTGAGCTGGGTCGTGAATGACTAGGAGCTTATGAGGCAGAGTGGACAAACAGGAAGGGCAAAACGGAATGGCATGAACAAAGATGCTGAGACTTGACAAGCCACTGTCGTGAGGCTGGCAGGTGTTTGAAGGCTGATGTGGCTGGAGGGTAGTCCCCGTGGCAGGTGTGCTGGTTGATAAAGTGGGGCGTAAGTTGTTAGCTTCCTTATCCCATGCAGAGGGATTGGCTTTATCTGTCTGGAGCCATGGGGACTGCAGGTGAGGTACTGTGTTCCTTGCAATGTTATGTTGGATCATCTCAAGTAGAGCTTCTGACCCCACAGTTCTCAACCTTGAGCTTTCATGTTGGGGATGAAGTCTGTGCAGAACCCCTGGTTGGCACTTATCCGCATGCCTGGGTCACCTTGGACTTCTTATCATCACTTGGATCATCATTGGGCAGTGGCCTGAACTCTGACCTTTACCCACTTTCCTGCCTCCCTCTAGGAGCTGGTTCCGTTTTTCCCAGGGTGAGGTGGGGTACGGGCTTTGGCATGAAGAACAAGATGGCAGAGGATGAGCCTTTCACACTCTTGGCTCTCCTCTGGCACCCCTTCTTGTCTTCTGTTTCTGCAGATCTTGGCTTCTGCTTTCTTCTAAATACACAGCCATCTTGGCTTCCAGCCCAGGTGAGAGAAAGCACTTATTTCCTTCAGCTCCTCTCTGAAAATAACCCAGCTGGCACTGCTCAGGAACAAGAAGTTCCTGAGAGTGTCGGTACCTCACGGTGTTGCTGTCCAGCGGTCTTCGGTCTTCGCTGTGAACCTTGTGTCTGCCCCACTTACTCTGAATTCAAGGACCGCTGTGGTGGGAAGTGAGGGGTCGTCTAAAGACCTCAGCAGTACCAGCTGGCTCCAAAGACTAGCGTAATGAAGCGATGGGGAGGGTAAGGGAGCCCTGGCACCCTAGGGAGACTGGGGTAACCTGTGGGAGGCCCTGCAAGGTGGGGGAAGAGCCTCACCATGGCATCTTCTCTGATCTGTTGTAGACAAAGGTGGATGCCTCTCACTGGGCCCCAGCCCTGGAATGTTTGCTAGAGCCCAGAGGTTGCTTATCAGTCTCTTCTGGTGTGGAATTCCTAGCTGCCCGACATCCTGGCGCCAGAAACAGCGGGCGGAGTCAGCAACTCTCTTGTCCAAACAGATTCATCGGAAAGCATCATGGAGGAGATTGGATTAGAGTTAATTCAATGAAGTTAATAAAGCAAAGTATTATAGTGGGCGTTCCATAAATAGTTGCTGCCTGATGAATTAATTGAACTAAATTCAAGCTGAGTCTTGAGGGACGAGTGGGAGGAAGCCCTGCGGGAAAGCGGAGGTCTCATGCTAAGTCCCAGAGGCCTGAGAAGACACGGTCTGGTGGGGAGAGGGTGGAAGCTGAATTTGGCTGGCTCTGAGCCCCAAGCGGCCTTACAAAGCTGGGCGGACTAGGCAGGCCCTGAGTCCTGGGCCAGGGGCAAATGGAAGATGGTGTCCGGCGTAGCCACCAGCTTCCTGAGTGGGCGAAGAGGGGCCTCAGGACCCTCGCGGTGCTGGATGTCCCCTTTCCGCCCACTTTCCGGTGGCGGGAGGGACCAGCGGGAACCCGCGGCGGGACAAATCAGACTCCGCTGACCTAAAGGTGGCTCCGTGCTCAGCCTTCTTAGCGTCTAGCTGGAAGGAAAATTACGGGTAGACGGGTTCGAAATGTGGAATTGGACCACGCTGCAGTCGGAGGCTTGTTCCGGACACTATTCCCCCCTCTCCACTCCCCGCCCCAACGGTCCCAGAAAGAACAATCCTGCGGGTTCCACTTTAAGGGGCGGGCGGGGGCGGGGCTCCCCTGCCAGCTGCCCGAGAGCCGCCCGCCCCGCCGCAGACGCAGACGCGGTCGCGGAGCTGCACCGAGTCATACAAGCAGCGAGATCGTCCCGGGGCCAGGAAGTCGGGGCGGGCGTCCAGCCATAGCTCGACTGTAGACTGCGTCGTGTTGTCGGTTCCGCAGGCACCATGAGCCAGGACACTGAAGGGGACATGAAGGAAGTGGAGCTGAACGAGCTGGAGCCCGAGAAGCAGCCTATGAACGCGGCGCCGGGGGCAGCCGTGGCCGGGGTCATGGCGGGCGGCACCGAGAAGAACGGTCTGGTGAAGATCAAGGTGGCAGACGACGAAGCGGAGGCGGCGGCCAAGTTCACGGGCCTGTCTAAAGAGGAGCTGCTGAAGGTGGCGGGCAACCCTGGCTGGGTGCGCACCCGCTGGGTGCTGCTGCTGCTCTTCTGGCTCGGCTGGCTCGGCATGCTGGCGGGCGCCGTGGTCATCATCGTGCGGGCACCGCGCTGCCGCGAGCTGCCGACCCAAAGCTGGTGGAACAAGGGCGCCCTCTACCGCATCGGCGACCTTCAGGCCTTCCTGGGCCGCGACGCGGGCAACCTGGCTGGTGAGCGCCGTGCATCCCCACCCCCACGCCTCGCGCCCCTCCTTTTAACTGGTCGCTGGCTTTGACCCGGTCCCCAGGTTCACTCGGACGGTTCTCCACCCCACCCAGTCCCGGCGGCCGCTCCCGGGGACGTAGGCCCTCCTTCCTGTCTTTGAAGATCCCCCGCCCCTCTCTTTCACGAGCTTAGCTGACTCGGGATCTTCCTCCTGCGGCGCCTCAAGCCAGTTGAAGCCGGTTTCTGAAGCAACGCGTTAGGCCCCTTACATCAGCTCCTCTGAGTCTCACGATCCAGCCTTATCTTCACCCCGCCCCAGCCCTCGGTCCCGGAGAGAGGAGCGAATAGGAGCGATTCCTCGCAGGCCGGCCTCACTTTACCCCTCTTCCCCACTCAGGCCTGAAGGAGCGTCTCGGTCACCTGGGTACCCTGAAGGTGAAGGGCTTTGTGCTGGGCCCGATTCACAAGAACCAGAAGGATGACGTCAATGGGACCGACTTGGAACAGATTGACCCCATTTTTGGCACAAAAGAAGATTTTTACAGCCTCCTGCAATCGGCCAAGAAAAAGAGTAGGTGGCCAAGAAAAAGAGTAGGTGCCCTGGAGTTGGCGAGGAAGGAGCGAGGAAGGGCTTGGCCTTCTGGCCAGAGGAAAGGCAGGATCGGATTATTGCCTGGTTTACTCTGGTTTAGGGTTCTCCTAGGGTAGGAATAAAGGAGGCAGGTATAAATCCAGCCTGAAATGGATTTGTCAGGTGGTTTAGAGACCTTCTCCTAGGCTATGTAGTCACTTTACTTCTGGGCTTCAGTGTCCTTATTTGCAAAATGTAGGGTTTTACGAAATCAGAGGTTTTTAAATCTTCATGAAAAGAGTTGATCTTTTTGAGGAAAACAAATCTACTTAAAATCTTGTCTTACTTTTAAAAGGGTTCGTTTTTTGGGGATGGGGAGCCCAGTGCCCCAAAGCTCAGCCTTCTCTACAACACTACAAGCCTTCTGCACTATAAGGTCTTCAGGCCCCCTCCCCGATCACATCTGTTTCAGTGGAATGAGCTTTGCCAGGGTTCAAAGCTAAGCGTTGTACCAAGTAATACAAAGAAAACACTCTACGGACTTGTATTTGTTGATGTCCTCCTTCCCCTTCACCCCGAAGCCTTTCTCACGACTGCCTCTAAATTGTTCTAGGCATACGGGTCGTTCTGGACCTCACTCCCAACTACAGGGGCCAGAACTTGTGGTTCCTCCCCAGTCAGGTTGACACTGTGGCGGCCAAGATGAAGGTAAGTGTGCTGAGGCTGAGTCGGCCCTTCCGCAGCAGGCCCCGCAAACCTCGCCCGGCTCCAGCCGAGGCACCCTTGCGCCTTGGAGCCAAGCAGGCATGGTCCCATATAAGCCAGCAGTGCATCCCTGTTTCTGCTCGTTCCTTTCCAGAGCACTCATTCTTTTTTTCCCCGACACGGATGACGACTGTGTCAGGAAGGGAGCTTCTCAGATGTCAGTCTGGGTTTGGGGTTTCTTCCTTTCGAGAGCGGAAACCCTTGCCCCGTGGGAATCCTGTGTCCTGACTGGTTTCCCAGTTCTCGTCTGATGTGTCTCGGAATGGAGCCCAGTCTGAAATTGTAAGCGTTGGGGTCTTCCTGTGTGTCTGGGCCTACGCCCAGGGTTTTATATAGTTTTTCTAATCTCCTGCAGACTCACACAAGGTCCCTATCAGTGTCCCCAGTCTGTAAATGAGGACGTTAAAGTTCAGATGGCTCCATGTGCCTGGCTAAGATTTGAGGTCCCAAGTAGTCTTTTTTTTTCTCTAATCTGACTTCCCCGAAGGTATGGGCTCAAACTCTATACCCAGCAGGCTGGGACTGGGGCTTTGAATGTCACCCCAGCTCCAGTGCCTGGGTTCTAGGGCACCAATCAGTTCAGATCAGGCAGAACAGAAAATGGAGTCAGACCGCGACACTTTGCTGGCAGCCCTAATTTTTTTTTTTTAGGCGAGGCAACCCTTGGTTGCCCTCACAGATTGCAAGGACTTTGTCAGCTTACAATCTCTTATTTATTTATTTATTTTATTTTTTATGCCCACAATACCTGGACTTCCTAGGTGGTCTCCATCCAAGTACTAACCAGGCCCGACCCTGCTTAGCTTCCAAGATCAGACGGGATCCAGCTTCTTCAGGGTGGCATGGCTGTAGACTGGCAGCCCCGATTCTGAGGGATTCTGTACTCTCAGCATTTCAGTAGGACCCATGAGGTCAGCCAGGTCATCAGTTAGCTGGGACATCCTTTAAAAGTTGTTGATAAGGGACGTTTTCAGTCGATAATGGCATAAGGAGTGGTAGCCTCAGATGAAAATGGAGATGAGAGGAAGGAGCACACGGAACAGAGAGAAAAAGGGAAAAATGTATGCAGTGGAAGTGGGATTCCATGTTCTGTGCCCTTCAAATGCCAGGGCTTCAGGTCTGGGCCTGCTCTGCAGAGCTGGCTCTTGTCAGCTGCTGCCTTAACTGCCCCGGGGCTATGCTTTGAAAATCACTCATCCTTGGCTTGGTTCTTGCTCACCGCCCCCACACCCTCTTCGGGACACTGGGAAAGGAGTCAATAGCTTGTCTTGGGATCTCAACTAGCATTTTAGGTCCTGTCTCTTCTGCTGTGGTCTTGGGCATGCTTCCTTGCTTCCCTGAGATTCCTCAGCTCTGAAGTGGGTAGACCATCATTCCACACATGCTAAGTATTGAATGACGCTACGGGCCTTTTCTGGTTGTCAGAGGTGAAGCCGTGGGATTTGCCATGGTGGAGCAGAGAGATGTGAAATGCTGTAGCACTAAGAGAATCAATGATAGGTTAGAATGGGAGGGGACCAAGGGCTAAACCTTTATAATAGAAGTGAGAAAGTAAGACTATTCAAGGCTCTCGTTCGAGTGACTCTTCCAAGGTCCCCCGGAAGTGAGTGGGCTAGAATTTCTGGAGCCTCTACGTCCGAGTGTTAATATCTTCTCTGTCCTCTTGCCCGCCTCCTTGTAGAATGCTCTGAGTTTTTGGCTGCAGGCTGGCGTGGATGGGTTCCAGGTTCAGGATGTGGAGACTCTGATGGTAAGTTCCCTTCGTGTGTGAGAGGCAGACTCTGGATGAGAAACTCTCCAGGTCCTGGTAGTGTTCTCCATCTTGTCTTCTAGAACGCACCTTCATTCTTGGCCGAGTGGCAGAACATCACCGGGAGCGTCAGTGGAGATAAGTGAGTGCCAGACCCCTGGTCCCCAGCTCCACTCCACCGTGGGAACCTCTCGGTGGAGTGCTAGGCCCCAGGAAGGGGGTTGTTTCCTCGTCCAGAGAACCTCTTCACCTCCATTCTCCCTTTCTTGCCCTGTACCAACCTTGACCCCTGCTCTGCTCTCTCTCCACAGGCTCTTGATTGCAGGGACTGGGTTCTCTACCCTTGAGCAGATCCTGAGCCTACTCAAATTCACCAAGGACTTGTTGTTAACTAGCTCCTATCTGTCAGACCGTATTTTCACTGGGGAGCATATAAAATCCCTGGTCACCCAGTATTTGAACGTAACTGACAGTCGCTGGTGCAGCTGGAGTGTGAGTACCATGGTGGTGGGGGAGGGGGCAGGTGGTGTTTTGGAGGAAAGGGGTGTTGGAAGACGGGGGCAGTGGCTTTGGGGCTCATCAGCGCGTCCTTTCCTGCAGTTGTCTCAGGCGGGGCTCCTGACGTCCGTCGTGCCCGTGCACCTCCTCCGACTCTACCAGATGCTGTTCTTCACCCTGCCAGGGACCCCGGTTTTCAACTATGGGGATGAGATTGGCCTGGAGGCAGCCCTTCCTGGACAGGTATTGCACGCTGCCTCTCCCGCACAGTGGGGAAGGTTGTGTTCATCCATCACAGTGGTTCTGTGGCTGTCGGCAGACAGACCTGAGCCTTGCGGTGGGCTCTGTTTGAATCCTAGTTAATCACCTCATCAGTAGCTGTGTGTGTGGCTTTGGCAAGCTATGTCACTTGTCTGAGTCCTGGTCGTCTCTTCTGTGATACCGCATTTCTTGTACAGAGTAGTTAGGATTAAATGGTGGCTTACTTTAAAATGTAAGGTCTGATATCTGGTAGGTGTTCAGTACGGTAGCCTTCACTCACTCGCTCATTCATTCACTCACTCGTTGGACATTGGGTACCCTGTGTTAGGTTCTGTGCCCTCCAGGAACTCAAGAGTTTAGCGGGGGAGCAGGCTTGGAGGTTGACGCTTGAGTTGATCTTTATAGAATCGGTCATTCATTCATTCCACAAGGTTTTATAGGGTAATTCCTATGTGCCAGCACGGATGGTACAGCAATGTACGAAAAGACGAGAGGTAGTGAAATTAGGTAATCGGCAGGTGTAATCAAGATGCCAGGTGCTGATGAGTGCTGCGCAAAAGAAAGGGGAAGGGGCCTCGAGAAGAGGGTCTGGGGGGTATATTTTATATTGAGTGACCACAGAAAACCCTATGAGACAACTGAGCAGAGACCGGGGTCAGGTGAGGGAGCTAGGGTGTGGCCGTCTGCGACAGGAGCCCTCCAGGCTGAAGGGTCTTCGTGCAGAGCCCCGAGGCGGGAGCCTGCCTTGCTCACGCAGCAGCAGTTAGGCGTGAGAGCAGGAGGCTGTGCCTCGATGGTGGTGGCCCCAGGACGGCGAGAGCAGACCCAGGCCTTTCCCAAGTCCTGTTTCCCCTGCTTTGCAGCCTGCGAAGGCCCCAGTCATGCTGTGGGATGAATCCAGCCTCCCCAACAGCCCCGGATCCGTGCTCTCCAACATGACGGTGAAGGTAAGGGTTTCAGATGGGCAGGGCCTGGCCAGCAGAGGGTGGCCGGTGGCTTTGGGAGTCAAAACTCAGGGGAGTTCTTCATCCCTTCCTGCTGTGTGTCTTCATCGTTCGCAGGGCCAGAACGAAGACCCAGGCTCCCTCCTCACCTTGTTCCGGCATCTGAGCAATCATCGGAGCAAGGAGCGCTCCCTGCTGCACGGAGACTTCCACGTGCTCACCTCGGGGTCTGACCTCTTCGCCTACGTCCGCCAGTGGGACCAGAACAAGCGTTTCCTGGTAGTGCTCAACTTTGGGGACGTGGGCCAACCTGCCCTATTGGGAGCTGCCAGCGCCCACTTGCCGGCCAAGGTTGACCTGCTGCTCAGCACCCAGCCAGGCCGTCAGGAGGGCACCTCTCTCAAGCTGGGGGACCTGAAACTGGAGCCCCACGAGGGGCTGCTGCTCCACTTCCCCTACATGGCCTGACCACTACCCTGCCCTGCCCCCTCCCCAGGCCTTTTTAGTTCGGGTTTCATTCTTTTTTTTTTTTTTTTTTTTTTTTAACTGTCACAAATTACAGACAAGCCCCAAATAGGGTGTTTTCTGGCTTCAAATAAAAGTCAATCCTGCCTGAAGAGATCTTGTCTTCCCTCCACTCCTCTGTCATGGCAGAAATGTCTTTCCCTCTCTACCCCATTCCAGCCTGGACCTCTGCCCCACAGCGCTCAGCGCCTAAGCGTTCCAGACATCCGCTCCGGCCTGGAAGGGAAGGGGCCTGCCAAGCTCATAGCGGCAGGGAGAGGTCAGGGCTGGGGCTGGCATGCCGCCTCCCCCAGGGCCGGTGCTCTCCTGGAGGCCTCGGGTCTTGCCGACTCAACTTCCCTCACCAGTGGTCTCCAGCCAAGTTTGGTCACTTTTCCTGTTTTTGCAGACTTAGCCTTTCAGGGAGATAGAGTGGGAATAGGGTGGCCTGTTTTCTAAGAGGTACTTGTAAAGAGTACTAGAGATCATTCATTCAACAGGAATTTATTGCTCACTCAGCCTGTACCAGGAGCTGTTTGAGGTCCTGGGGTTGACAGGAGGGAACAAAGTTCAAAACCTCTGTCTTCTTGGGGGTTAAGTTCTAGTGAGGAGACAGAATTGGAATAAGCTGAATAAACATTATGGCGGATGTAGCGATAGCAGGGTCGTTCAGAGAGGAGAAAGTAAAGCAGGAAAAGAAGTGGGTGCTGGGAGGGGGGCTAGTGGAGGTCTCACGGAGATGACGTTTGAATAAGGGAGGGCGTTAACTTAGCAGATATCTGGGGAAGGAGCTTTCCAGTGTTCTGGGAGGAGTGGGGTCGGGGGGAACCTGCCTGACACTTGTGAGGAATGAGGAGAGAGGACAAGGGATAAGGTCTGGTTGGCAAAGGGTGGGCAGACGACGAAGATTCGGGTAAGATGGTCACACAGCAGGTGCAGAGTTTGGGAAACTGCAGTTCAGAGCATGGTTCCCCTCAAGACTGCCCTCTTCAGACACCAGCTGTAAAGTTAGGGTCCCCATGACCATCCTCAGTGGGTAATTGCTAGAAGGACTCTCAGAACTCAGGAAAGCACTGAGATTACAGTTCTAGAGCAAAAAGAACACCTTAGGGTGACCTGGCCGAAGGGCGGATGCATGAGCAGGGCGGCACCCAGACACGAAGCCTCCGATTGGTGGGTCATCTCCCAGCAAAGCCCTGGGCACAGACTTCTGGTATGTAGCAGTGTGGCCCAGTAGGGAAGGTCCCCAGAAACTTTGGTGTCCAGAGCATTTCTTGGGGCTTAATCATCCACTGTCCTCATGGTCAATCTTTAGTCTCCAGTCCTTGCCAGAGGTTCAGGCTAATATCTTTCGTCTTCGGTTCCTCCTGTGATAGCCTGTCCCGAAGCCCTCATTGTAAATCACCTCATTAGACTGATGTCTGAAGTCTCGCGCTAACAAAGACATTCCTACCAGCCAGAACATTCCAGGGGCCTGGAGATCACCTCCCAACAGCTGAGGACAAAGTCCAGACTTTCAGCTAAGATGGATTTTTCACTGCACATGGGGTTTGAGGGAATGAGATGGGAGTTGGAGGGTTTTGAGCAGACTGGGTTTTAATGGTTTGATTAGACTTACATTTCTTTTTCTTTTAAGTCATGTGCTCTACCCACGAGGACTGTGGGAACCTTGTTTACAGAGGAGGCTGAGGGCCCAGAGGACTAAAAGGATCTTCTTGGACACTGGTGGAGCTGCCATTTGGACCCAGGCCTTAGCTCTGTGGTCAAGCTCCCTGTCCCAATGGTCTGGGTCTTTCCCCAGGGCCCCTGGCCAATTACCTGCTTCCGAGTTGGGGGAGGGGCTGACTTTCAGCCCGAGTCATTTTTCCAATGTCAGTTGATGCGCCACAGCGTTGGTGACCCAGAGGGGACTGAAACACTGCCCCGTAGTTCCGGGCTTGACCGACTGGGAGTGGAAGCAGATGTAGGAATAATCGCCGTCCTGAGGTCAGGGCTGGCGGGGACAGAGGACGTGTTTAACCCAGGAGGGATCTGGAAAGCTTGGAGCCTTCATTCGAGCTGAGAGCGAGGCACCAGTAGGCATTCACGTGATGCCTTTAAGGACAGGGCCACCTGGGTAGGGAGGACATTATCACGGCCACTCAGTCGAGACAGCACGGTGAGAGCGAGGGACGGTTTGCCAGAGTGGGGAGAGCCATGCAGAGGCTGAAGCACGGAGGGTGTGGGCAGCCATGCTCAAGTCAGACCCGCTTTGCCGCATATGTGCTTCCCAGCCTGGTTACGCAGAATCGTCTGGAAAAATTTCTCCCATCCAACATCCACTAAATTGGAATCTCCAAGGGGGTGGGCCTGGGAGTCTATTTTTAACCAACTTTCCAAAACGATTCTCACAGCAGTTTGGGAATCAGTAGATCAAAGTTTCCCGAACTTGCTTTGTTACGCTCCAGGACGATGATTAGAAAAATCTTGGGTTTTCTCCTAGATATTCTGTTTCAGAAGGTCTGGGATAGGACACCGGAATCTATGTAAGAAGCTCAGATAAGCAGGAGAAAGGAATATTGCTCTCGCTGGTGGGGACACCACTGAAATGTGCTTGGCAGGGAGTGGCATGGTCAGGTTTGAGTTCCAGAAAGATCACTCTGGCTCTGCTGTTGTGGAGGAAAAAGTTGAGGGTGGCCGGGACCGGGGAAGGGAGCCACCTGGAATAGTCTAAGGAAATGAGGGTCAAGGAGGCTGTGGGGTTGGAGAGGAGGGGATGATGGCTCGAAGAGATGGTTCAAGAGAAGATCCAGAATTTCTTGACGGCCTAGGAGGGATGGGCTGGATGCTAGCGGGGAAGGGAGTTATGTGGTGACTGGAGTTTCTGGCTGGGGTGGGCGGGGGAGCTGAGCGGGGTGGGGGGGGTGGGCAGAAGGGCAAGAAGCAGCTGTGGGTGGTGAGCTGACTGGCTCCATGTGGCTGTGCTGGGTGTAGGTGCCCTTGGACTTGCAGCTGGGGGTTTCCAGCAGCAGGTCTGCAGCTCAGCAGAGGGGGAGATCTGGGAGCCCTAGGGTAGAGGTGGGGGTGCATACCGTGAGTGTGAATGATGCCCCAGTGAGGTGTAGAGTGAGAAGGGCGAAAGGGTGAGGCTGGAGCCCTGAGAACTGGCGACATTAACAGGACAGAGAGTGGGGTGAGGGGCCCACAGAAGAGGAAGAGCAGGAGCGGATGGAACCCTTGGCGGGGGTTGGGAAGGCAGGAGGAAGTGGCTAGGTCAGTGTCAGGGCAGAGCTGTCCCAGCTGGCCTTCAGACTTGGTGACAAGGAGATGGTTGGTGGTGCTCTGGAGCACTTCCAGGGCACTGGAGAGAAATGCTTTTGTGATTTTAAGGGTAGGAGGGATTGGTACAGGTTTCCAGCTGGAGTTCCTGGTTTTTTCTTAAGCAGCAAAAGAATTTGTTGAAAGGTCATCAGGAGCTGCCAGGGAGAGACAGGACCAGGCTTGGGAAATGGTCAGGAAGCAAGCGCCAAGCAGCAGGACGTACAACCGTCTTTTAACTGGAACAGCCTGGGAGGTGGCCAACGGGAGACACTACCTGTGCGTGGGCGGTTGGATACAAGGCCTTTGGCTGCTGGCGGGCTGTGGGTGATGCCGAAATTCAGGATGCGTTCCACTTGCAATGGCCCTGACATGTCCCAGTCCAGCTGCCGAGTCATGTGCAGTGGTACTGTGCCCGTGGCGATGGGGCGTGGATAGCGTGAGCGGCCCCAGATAGAGTGGAGTCAGAGATGATTTTATGGTTTTTGGCCTGAGCAGCTAGAAGATTGGATCTGCCATTTATTGAGGTGAGGAAGATCGCCAGAGGAGCGGGCTTAAAAGGGGAAGCGAGCAGCTCAGTTCGGGCTCAGTTCGGGCCGTGGCGTCTCTGAGATCCAGCGGACACGGAAGGGAAATGTCAGGATGTCAGCCCGACGGTCCGCCCGGTGTTCATGAAGAGACCTGGGCTGGGGATGCGGATTTGGGACTCACGTGTACAGCTGGCATTTACAGCAGTGAGATGACAGGAGATGACCACGGGAGCGAGTGTAGAGAAGGAAGAGAAGAGGACCAAGGACCGAGACCCAAAGACTGAGGCCCAAGCCCTTCAGGGGTCGGAGAGAGGAGGCGGAGCCTGCAGCGGGGACTGAGAAGTGGGGGCAGTGAGGGAGGTGGGGGTTTGGCGGGGAGGCGCCCTCTGCAGACCAGCCAGGAAAAAACGGCTGACTCTGTCACACGCCGCTGGGGGGTCAGGTAGGAGGACAGAGGCTTGGCTGTGGGGTTATCAGCATGGGGGTCTTTGGTGAATTGGACAAGAGCAGTTTTGGTTAGGCTGGGACAGAAGCCAAGCAAAAGGGGTTTAGGAGAGAATTTGGAGTCAGCGACGACAGGAAGGCTTTTCTTTTGGTATTTCACTATTTATTTTTTCTTTTCTTTTCTTTTTTATTGAGGCGTAATCTACATACAATATTATTTTAGTTTCAAGTGTGTATCTTACTGATTCAATATTGGTATATATTGTGAAATGATCACCACAAGTCTAGTTAACATCTGTCACCATGCAAATTAAAAAAATAGTTGATTTTTTAAAAATTTAAGTGTAGTTGGTGTACAATATTATATTAGTTTCAGGTGATTTGACATAAGGTATATAAATTTGACATTTATATACCTTACGATGTGATCACCATACTAAGTCTAGTACAGAATTTTTTTTTTCTTGTGATGAAAGCTTTTAAGATCTATCCTTTCAGCGACTTTCAAATATGCAATACAAAGCTTTTCTTTAAAGATGGGAGCAATAACTTTCACCTAAGTCATTGTATACTTCTATAAGAGCATGACTTGTAATAAAGGGTTAATGAAAAAAAAAAAAGTCTACGGACATGCTACCCTGAACAAGCCCCATCTAGTCTGATCTCAGAAGCTAAGCAGGGTCGGGCCTGGTTAGTACTTGGATGGGAGACCACCTAGGAAGACCAGGTGCTGTAGGCATAAAAATAAAAATAATAAGGGTTGTAAGCTGACAAGGCCTTGCAATCTGTGAGGTCAATCAAGTGTTGCCAAGCCTCAAAAAAAAAAAAAGATGGGAGCAATAACAG